AAAGAGGTAGATATTCCTGGACTAGCACTGCCCACATTGACCAGGAAAAGGTCATTCGGTATAGACACTTGTGCTGGCCCCTGAGTACTGTGGTCAAAATCCCAAGATTCCCCTGTGGACTGGAATGTGAGCAGGCAGGGGTCACACAGCACAGCAACCACGGCCATTCACAGTGAACCAAGTAGTCCTTGCACCGGGTGTGTGGTCCATGAGGGGCACAGATCCTGGGGTTTGGGGTCAGGCAGGGAGAGGAGTGCAAGTGCATCCCAGGTCAGTGCAGGTGCTGCGTGCTGTGTTGGGGTCTGCATGCAGGAGGGGAAACTTGAAACAGAGCAGGGGCGGGAGCACTGACTGAGGTGACTGGGAGGAGGTGAGTGGGGGGGTGAGCAGAGGGAGGTGTGGAGAGCAGTTCTGAGGAGGAGAGGACGACTGTGTGACCTCAGACAGCCACAGTGGGGTGGGGGCAGGGCCAGACGTGGGGGCAGTCCAGAAAGCAGACCCAGCTGAGTGAGTGGATCTGGGACACAGAGAGTTTGGAGGGGGCAGCGGTGACTATAGAGACTGCCAGGGGTTTGCACTGCTGTCTGTTCTTCAGTGGTGGGAATATTGGTAATTGTGTGTCAAGGACGCTTTCCTGTAGTAACTGTATAAAATAGCCGGGAAACCTCAGTGGCACATGGCAAAAGATATTTATTCAGTATGGGCATTGAGTGATTTAAACTGATCTGGGTTGGATTTGGCTAGTATCAGGTGGGTTTCCTCACACACTGCTGGTCTGGTTGGGGAAGTGAAATCAAAAGCAAGGTTCTTTCCCAGCAATCTTTGCAAAGGGACTGAAGAAAGACAACACTTGATTGGTCAACAAAAAACAAAGCAGAACACATTACACATCACAAGAAATCCATTAAGGGATTGCAAAGACAGCAAGAAATCTTTGTGTGTGTGTGTGTAGCCAAGCAGATATAATATGCATTGCACAAATTTTAAAAAGTCTTATTTAGCTTTATGCAGCTGGGTGTTTGCTTCACACCATGGCACCAAGGGCAGAGTGGGCATGGGAGGGAAGAGAATGGAGAGCCCTGAGTTCCACCTGTGCACCATCCTGGGGCCAACACCATCACGGCCTGTGACCTTAGTCTCCTTCTACTCAGCGGCTTCATTTGAGGCCTCGATGGCCCTGGGCTTCAGTCTGGCAGTGTGTGGGGCCAGCTGTCACTCTCTGAGTCCTGGCCTGGGCAGCCTTCTCCAAGGATGGGGCCTTGATGGGTGGGGGCGGGGCCTCACGTGGAGCAGGGCATGCAGAGCACCTCAGGGTGGATCCTGCTGACAGCCACCGGGCAGGTGCTCAGCTGCTCCTCCCTCCCCGTCTGGTCCTGCTGGGATCTGCCCCAGTGTGGGCCCCTCACCCCCATGGGTGAACGTGTGGGTCCCTGGTCCACGGAGAGTGTGGTGCCCCAGCACAGAGCACAGTGAGCAATGGCAGTGCTGGTAGGAGTGGTGGCCAATGCAGTGATGATAGCCCTGGTGTGGCCCAGGCTGCTGAGCCCTTGGTGGCTCCTATCAGGCTACCTGGCCCCTGTTCGTGGTGTGATGAGGGCCCAACATGAGGGTCAACAGCATTCTGAAGTGCAGGGTTGTTGAATAAATGACCTAGAATATGAACAAAAGTTTCATTTATTTTTTTCTAATTTGAAAGCAAGCAACAGAGAGACAGAGAAGCAAAGAGACCTCCCATCCAGATTCACTCCCAAACGCTTACAATAGCTGAGTTGTGGCCAGACTGATGCCAGGATCCCAGAGCTCCTAGTCTCCCTGTGTCTAGCTCCTGTGTCTCTGCCACAAACACTTGATCCCTCATCTGCTGGTTCCCCGCAAGCATATCCAGGAAGCTGGATTGGAAGCAGAGGGAACTGGAACTCAGGCCCTCAGATATGGGATGTGGCATCTCAAGCATTATGTTAACTGCTGCACCAAATGCCTTCATCCATGTTTTCAAAATAAACAACAACTACTCCTCAAATAAGAAGCCTTGAAGCAGATATAATACCTGCTTATCACACAGAGCTCACCCCCAAAGTACCTAGTAATTGTAGTGGCCATCTATCTTAGTTAATAGACTTTATTTGGAGGAAAAACAAACTTTTTAAAAAATATTTATTACTTTTTATTTGAAAGGCAGATATAGAGAGACAGAGAATGTTGGAGGGGATGAAGAGGGGGCGAGAAAGAAAGAGAGAGATAGAAGCAGAGAGAGAGAAAGATTGTTCTTACATCTGCTGGTTTACTCCCCAAATGGCTGCAATGGGCCTTAGCCTTGCTGAAGCCAGGTTCAGGAGCTTCTTCTGGGTCTCCTACATGATTTCAGGGGCTTAAGAATTTGAGTCATCTTCAGTTACTTTCCCAGGCACATCAGCAGGAAGCTAGATCAGAAGTAGAGCAGCCAGGACTCCGACAGGTGCTCATATGAGATTCTGGGACTGAAGGCAGAGGCTTAACTTTCTATATCTCAGGACCAGCCCTAAGTTTCCTATTTTTATAATAGAAGTAATTTTACCTGCTGAAGTGAGGCTCTGAAGCTTCCACAGAAATGAGAAAATGATGCTGTCTTCTTTGATGTTTGCATTTCAATGCATTTTCTCCAAGTCCTTGAGGAAGACATTCCTGGGTCATTAAGCTGGCCAGAGGCCTATCTGCTTTTTTAATGATAATATTTCACATGAGGAGAAGTATTCACAGTTCTCAGTGCTCTAAAGTCAATGCTCTGAGAAAACCAAGGAGAGGGGAATTTGTCTTATTTTCAACAGGGAGAATGAGGTCTTACTTCAATACTTAATGTTCTTGTAGTCAGCTGGGGAGGTCACCACGTGGACTGTGCCTGGGTGTGTTCCCATTCTTGACTGTTGGCTGCCCTAGGACAGCGTCTCCTGGAGAGGCTGGGTGAGCAGCAGTGCCCAGGAGTCTCATCCTGCAGTGGCTGCCTCAGGCCTGTCCTTCCTAAGGCAATGGCAGAAGCAAAGCCAGTGACACAAGTGCTTTTCAAACCTCTCCTTAAGTCACATTGGCTGGTCTCTCATTGGCCAGCGTGAGTCACATGACCAAACTCAGAGCCAGAATGTGAAGGAGATACAGCATGGTGGAGGGCCAGCTCCCCTCAAGAAGGATAAAATATAAGGGTATTTAATACTCAGTTATCACACATAACTCACAGCTGTGAACTCAGTTCTGCAATTGTGAGTTTTAATTGTAGGTAAAGGGAGCCAGCACTGTGGAGTAGCAGATAAAGCCACTGCCTGCAATGCCAGCATCCCATATGGGCACCAGTTCATGTCCAGGCTGCTCCATTTCTGATCCAGTTCTTGTGGGGAGCAACTGGGAGCAACTCGGACTGGACTAAGTTACTGGAATTAAGACTTATTCTATGCATCTGCTCTCCCACAATATGGCGCTGAGAAGGGAGAAACAGCTTCTACACAGCTGCCTCCAGTTCAACCAATAAGCAGCAGAACCTGCTCCTGATTGGAGGAGAGCAGCGTACTCGGCGTGTGGGTAGCAGAGTTGGGATTGGTGGAAGAGGACTATAAAGGAGGAGAGAGACAACATGCACCAGGAACATCTAAGGGGAACATCTATCTGAAGGAACACCTGTGCAGCCCCCGAGAGAGCCGGCCGGCGGTGTGCCGCTCCCCCGCGGAAGTGGGGAATGTGGCAGGGGGAACCGCCCTTCCACGGAGGTGGAAGGGTCGGTAGCCAACCCGGGAAGAACCAGCAGCAAACCCAGGGAGGGCCAAGCAGACGAAAGAACAGCGCAGGGTCCTGTGTCATTCCTCCACGAAAACGGGGAGCGACAGTTCTCTGCTATGTCCTGGGAAAGCAGCTAGGATGGCCCAAGTCTGTGGGTCCTGCACCTGCATGGGAGACCCAGAAGAAGCTCCTGGCTCCTGGCTTCAGATCGATTCAGCTCTGCCCTTGTAGCCATCTGGGAGAAAACCAGTGGATGGAAGACTTCTCTCTCTACCTCTCCCACCATGTAACTCTATCTTTCAAATAAATAAGTATAATCTTTTAAAAAATTATATGTAAGGAAGCCTGCTAGAGGTAACTCAAAGATGTGCATGTAAACAAAGGGAGTGGGAAGACAGAGCTGTTGACTGGTGTAGTTTTGGCAATAATTTACAAATAGGGGCAGTGGGAATCATAGCAGGTGCCCAGCAGGTGTGATAGAGACAGAGATCTTCCATCTGCTGGTTCACTCTCCAAATGCTCACAAGAGTACCAGTGACACAAATGCTTTCCAAGACTCTGATTAAGTCAGATTAAGCTCTCTCTCAGTGTCCAAATTGGGTCACATGGCCAACCTCAGAGTGCAAATGTAAGGGAACCCCAGAGAGTATGGTAGAGGTATAGCTCTATACGAAGATAGGCAAAGTGAAAGGGGCATTTTAATAATCAGTTTATCACATACGACTCAACACTGTATACTAAGTTCTGTAATTGTGAGTTTCAGTGTCTGTAAGGAAACCTGGAGAGATAACTCAGGGTGTGGATATGAGGGCAGGAGTGGGGACAGGGTTGTTGACTGGTACAGTATTGGAAGTGATTTACAGAGAGAGGCAGTGGGAATCATAGCAGGTGCCCCAGGAGTGAGTGGTGTGAGATTAGAGGTTCCGGATGGAGTCCTAGGGTCAAGTTCCTGCTCCTGGTTTCTCTGGGCCTCAGTCTTCCCATCTGCACAGTTGAGGACAAAGCCCCCTACTCTGTGCCCCACATAGTACCCAGGGCTCTTTCCCTTCCTTCAGGCCATGCCCTCCCATGGAATCTCCAGAATGTGACACAGTGACTCCCCTGTAGCTGTGCCACACCCACACCCTGCTGAGGCCCTGGGCCAAGTGGTCCCCAAAGTCTCCACAGCTCCCCTCTTGCAGGCCTGGGCTCTGTCCCTCAAGTGCACATTGAAGGGCTGGAGCAGGACGGGGTCCGTGTGGTGTGCAAGGCCTCAGGCTGGTTCCCGAAGCCCCAGGTGCAGTGGACAGACGTCAAGGGGAAGAAGTTCCTGGAGTTCTCTGAGGCCCATGCCCAGGACGCAGCAGGGCTGTTCAGTGTGGAGGCGGCTCTGGTGGTGAGAGACAGCTCTGCAGGGAGTGTGAGCTGCTCTGTCCTCAATCCCATCCTGGGCCAGGAGAAGGCGATGGCCGTGTCCATCCCAGGTCGGTGCAGCTTCTCATTCCTGGCAGGGCTTGGGAGGTGGTGCAGGCATCCCTGAGTGTGCTGGGTGGGCCTGGGTGCTCCCCTGACTGGGTCTCTGCCTGGGCCCCAGAGCCCTTCTTCCCGCAGGCCTCTCCCTGGAAGGCAGCTTTTGCTGGGAGCCTGACGGTGCTGGGGCTCCTGCTCTTTGGGGCTGGCTGCTTCACCAGGAGAGAGCACTCTGCAAAGCTGCAGGAGAGGCAGAAAGAGCAGAAGCTGCGCCGGGATAAGGAGGAGGACCAGCGGGCAAAGGAGGAGACACTGAAGGCCAGAGGTAGGAGGCCAGGGGCCTGGCAGGGGGGCAGCTGGTGCTGAGAGGAAGGATGCTGGGAGATGAGTCTGTGGGTTCAGCTCTCCAGGGCAGGTGGCTGTGGAGACCCAGACAGGACAGCTGGAGGCTGGAGCTGTGGGTGGGTCTGGAGTAGGAACTTCTCTAGGATACAGATGAGGTCTTTCCTGTGGGTTCTCCAGGAACACGGTTTCTCCTTTTCTTGGGGGTGGGAGTTTAAGGTTTTTTCACTCTCTTTCAGACGAGCTCCAAGCAGAACTTGGTAAGCTCTGCTCTCCCTCCTGAACTCTCCCTGTCCCTTTGTGGAGGACACTCTGGGTCTCAGCTCACCTGTCCCCTGTGTGCTGCTTTTCAGGTAGGAGGAAGACAGCTTACTTGGTTGGTGAGTGACTCTCCAGATGTTCCGTGGTCTCCTGTCCCACCTGTGTCCAGCTGTCCCCTCCTTGTTTCTGTCTGGTAACAGACATGTGGACCCCCCTTCCCTGGATCAGCAGTGGCAGTTGGGTGGTGGAGGCCTGCTTTCTTGGTCTCTCACATCTGCGTGGCTGTCTCCTGTTCATGCTCCAAGATGTGTGTGCAATATTGGGCATGGAGTCAGCTCTGCTTCCTGGGTCTTTTTCCACCCTGTGCTGTCCCTGTATGAGTGCTGCTAGTGTTACAGCCTCCCGTGCTCTAGCTCTTGGCTTGCACCAGGAAACCATAAACCAGATGCACTCATATTTCATGAGAGGAAGGACATGAATAAATGGGGTCACTGAGCTTGGGGTGCCATCTTCTGCCCCCTCCCTCCCAAAACACTACCCAGGGGGAACTGCTGCTCACCTGTTCCTCAAAGGTGCCAGGGAAAAGTGATAGGGAGAGGACTGGGCTGCTGACCAGGTGTGGTGGTCGATGGGACGAGCTGAACATCTCTTAGCACAGTTGTGCTTCCATCTAGCAATATTTTAGAGAGAATGTTTGGTCCCTTTGACCCTGGAGGGGGTCTCATATCCATTTTGTTCCTTCTTTTCCATTAATATTGCCCATATACCCAACCAGAAAATACTATACAAAAATTGTTGATAAAAGGTAATTTATCATTTTAAAAATGTTCATTTTAATTTTTTGAAAGGCAGAAAGAGAAAGAGATATAGATCTTATATCCACTGGTTCACCCTTCCCCTCAAATGCCACAATGGCCGGGGCTGGGCCAGGCTGAATCCAGAAGCCCTGGGCTCCTCCAGTCTCCCATGTAGGTGCAGTGGCGCAAGCACTAGGGCCATCTTCCACTGTTTTCCCAGGTTCATAAGCAGGAAGCTGGATAGGAAGAGGTGCAGTCGAGACTTGAACTTGCCCCCATATGGATGCCAAACTTGTAGGCAGCAGTTTTACATGCCATGCCACAATGCTGGCCCCATTTTTTCACTAAAATATCTTCACATGGTATATTTTGCTCCTCACAGCACTGAAGGGCCAGTGACACAGGAGTCTTTGTGGGTTTTGAGGCACGGGGCAGAGAGCTGACAGCCAAAACTCACCCAGCAGTGGGGCAGGGTGCAACTCATCTTTCCAGCAGGCTTCCTGATCTATGGTCAGGGAGTTTCCCACAATCCTCTGCTGTCTGCACCTGCAGGAGGCCCCTCCTGTGCAGCCTCTCTCCTGCTGCAGAGTCTGACCTTCAGCACAGAGGGCAGGGAGGGCTGAGCAGGTGGTGTGGCTGTGGTCTCACCAGGATGTGTTTCCTTTCAGCCTGGAGGAAGGCGCAGCTGTATGCTGGTAAGTGACGCTGATGGCTCCTCTGCCTCCCTGCCCTGCCTCTGCCCTGCCCCTTCTCTACCTGTGGACTCAACTCCAGATGTGCTGGGCATCCCTGCTCTCCTTTGCATTGTTGTAACCTCCGTGGAAAGACAGCAGGGACTCCTGCTTGGGGCCATTTTCTTTGTTTGAAAGACAGACTTACAGAAGGAGGTAGAGACAGAGAGAAGGAGAGGTCTTCAATCTGCTTGTTGACTCCACAAATTTCATCAACGGCCAGAGCCGAGCTGATTTAAAGCCAGGATCCCAGAGTTGCCTCCTGGTTTCCCACAAAGGTACAGGGGTCCAAGGACTTAGGCCTTCCTCTGCTACTTTCCCAGGTTCACTAGCAGGGAGCTGGATATGAAGTGGAGCAGCCGGGACTTGAACTGGCACCCTATGGGATGACAGCTGCAGGCCGAGGATTTACCCCACTGCAGCACAGTGCCAGCCCCAGCAGTGCCTTCTTAAAACCCCTTGTTCAGCTGATCCTTCTCAGTGCAGTGAGCTCAGGTGTGAGGAGAGCCTGGAGCAGGGTGACCACTGTGCAGATGGGGAAGCACTGGTCTCCAGAAGACCCAGGAACCACGTTTCACTGCTCAGGACTCAGGTCTTACAGAGGATCTTTAGTTGTATATTCTTGTTACCCTGAAATTCCTGCCCTTCCTGGTCCTGGTCGATTTTCCTGTTGCTTCCTGGTCCTCTGGGATGCTGCTCTTCTCTGTGCTTCCTGCTCTGATCACTGTGCAGCTGGATTTCTTCCCCTGAGCACCTGTGGTTGCTGAGGAATTTGTTACTCTGAGGAAATGTTCTAAACCCAGGAGCAGAGCCTCCAGGATGTGGGGGGATGCATTCCTGGCTTGGGGTCTATAAATTATCTGAAATTATGTGCAACATCCTGAGTACTTTGAGTAGGATTAAAGAATTAAAAACATGTATCTGAGGACTGGCGCCACAGCTCACTAGGCTAATCCTCTGCCTACAGTGCCGGCACACCGGGTTTTAGTCCCGGTTGGAGCGCCGGTTCAGTCCCGGTTGCTCCTCTTCCAGTCCAGCTCTCTGCTGTGGCCCAGGAAGGCAGTGGAGGATGGCCCAAGTGCTTGGGCCCTGCACCCACATGGGAGACCAAGAGAAGCACCTGGCTCCTGGCTTTGGATCAGCGCGGTGCGCCGGCCGCAGTGGCCATTGAGGGGTGAACCAATGGAAAAGGAAGACCTTTCTCTCTGTCTCTCTCTCTCTCTCACTGCCCACTCTGTCAAAAAAAAAAAATATGTTTCATAGGGAGGTAGAGAGGGAGCATGAGAGAGAGAGAAAGAGAGAGAGAGAGAGACTCACCAAATGCCTGCAATGGCAGTAGCTGTCTCAGGGCTTTGCTGGGTTCTAGTCTTGTTCCTGTGTCCACTCCCCCATCCCCTTGCCTCCCCCTGTGCGAGGCTAGCACACTGCTCTCCCTGAGGACTCCTCAGACTCTGACTGTGGATGGAGCCTTTGCTTTGGTCAGCACCTGCCTCTCTCCTCCCCAGGGATGAGCATGGAAGTGGAGGAGATGCAGAGGCCTTGAGGCCTTGGGGAGAGGCTTCCTGTGGTCTCCTTGTCTTCCCAGGGAGGCGGGGCTTAGCTGGTCCTAAGCCCCTGTTTTCAGCTGAGGAAGGGCAGTGGCAGGTCCTATCTGGTACTGGGGGCACTGTTGGTGACTATGTCCCTAGAGAGTGGGTTTCACGGTCTGGGTTTGAATGGAAGATTGATGTCTTTCTGGGTTCATTTGATAAGATTAGACATCTGGAGAATCCAGGAGTCACATCCTAATTTCAAGGTCTTTAATGTTTATCCCATCTGCAAAGTTCTGCAAAGTCACAGGGCACTATGGATTAGGACTTGGAAATCTTTGTAAGTCATCCTCTAAGTTCAGCTCAGCCAGTTGTAGCAAACTCACCTATGGCTTTGAAGCAGCCTACAAATTCAGTACTGTAAGAAAATGGAAATTTGAATTCCCCAATACGTTCCTAAGAAAACCGAGCTTTGAGGATGGTTTTGTGACTAGGAACTTGAGAAAGCATAGTGTGATGGTGAAATCTGAGCAATAACTTTTCTCTGCAGATCAGGGTCCAGCATCTCAGTTTCTGGGTGTTAAGCTTTATGGCTTAGCCTTCCTAGAAATGCTGCAGCATGGAGTGTGTGTGTGTGTGTGTGTGTGTGTGTGTGTGTGACACAATCCATCAGCTGAGTGCATCCCAATACCTTCCCCCATCACTCCCACATGAAGAGCAGGTGCTGAGCTGACATGTGCAGTCTGTGTAGACCCCTGATGTGAACTTTGTGTTCTCTTGTAGACTGGCGGAAGGAACGGTTCCAGGCCTGTGAGTGACTTCGTGTTCTTTCTGGGTGCTCCTCCCTGTGCCCCCATGGCTCTGGCCTCTCCTTCAGTTCTCTGTGATGGTACAGATGCTAGCACCAGCAACCGTGGTGTGCTGGGGGCTGAAGTGACAGGAACAAAGCTGGGGCTGGTCCCAAGGGTCTCTGTGACAGGCCTGACCCTCAGCGAGGTCTCCTGGTTCCTCCTCCTGATGGAGGCCGCCGGCTGGAATCACAGGGCCTCATTTCATGGGCATTGCCCCTCTCCCCTGCAGCTAGGAGGGTGGTTATGCATCCTTGTTACAGGGCAGGATGGAGCTGTGCATGATCGGGATCTTTCCCTGCAGGGCCTGTCACTCTGGATCCAGTGTCCGCCCATAGTCGTCTTGCCCTCTCTCCTGACAAGATGAGTGTGACCTGCAAGGACACCACTGAGAAGGACTTTCTCTGCTCTGTGTGGGGCCTTGAGGGTATCACGTCAGGAAGATGTTACTGGGAGGTGGAGATCAGGAGTGGAGTGTACAACTGGTGGTCTCTGGGGGTCTGTAGGGAGAATATGACAAGGACAGACAGGTATCTAGAGTCCCCAGATATGGGGTTCTGGGTTGTGAAGAGGATTAACAATAAGTATTGTGCTAGGACCAAGTCTCTGCAGGCTCTATCCCTCAGACAGGAACCCCGCAGGGTGGGGATTTTCCTGGACTACAGTGAGGGGGACGTCTCCTTCTACAACATGACTGATGGCTCCCATATTTTCTCCTTCCCCCCAACTTCTTTCTCTGGAACCCTCCTTCCATACTTCTCACTCGATGGAGACGTGACCCTGAGCATCTGCCCCACAGAGGGGGGGTCTGAGGGGCTCCCTGTGCCCCTTAGCAAGTCTCCTTCTTTGGAGGAGGCTGGGAGGCCCCCAGGGGAGGGGCTCAGCTCAGGCTCTGGAGTGGATGGAGCTCCCCCAGGGCCTGAGTCTCCATTGCTGCCCTGAGCCCCACAGGGGCCCTCACTGCCCCCGACTCCTCAGTGAGACTCTTGCTGGGGCTGCAGGCTCCTGGGACAGAGCCTCTGGGGCAAGTCCTGGATGGCCAGAAATGTCTCCCCCTGTGGTTATCAGAATTGTTCATTCATGCACCGTGATCAAAGACAGAAGATGAAAGTTGATGTTGTTTGAACTGGTTTAGGATAAACTGAAAATTACTATGAAATTATTGTTATTGGTATTAAAAGTCTTTCCTGGGTTTCAAATTCTTTTTTTTAAACCTTTATTTAATAAATATAAATTTCCAAAGTACAGCTTATGGATTACAGTGGCTTTTTCCCCCCCATAACTTATCTCCCACCCACAACCCTCCCATCTCCCGCTCCCTCTCCCATTCCATTCTCATCAAGTTTCATTTTCAATTATCTTTATATACAGAAGATCAATTTAGTATATATTAAGTAAAGATTTTAACAGTTTGCACCCACACAGAACATAAAGTGTAAAATACTGTTTGAGTACTAGTTGTAGCATTAATCTACATTGAACCACACATTAAGGACAGAGATCCTACATGAGGAGTAAGTGCACAGTGACTCCTGTTGTTGACTAAACAAATTGACACTCTTGTTTATGGCGTCAGTAATCTCCCTAGGCTGTTGTCATGAGTTGCCAAGGCTATGGAAGCCTTTTGAGTTCACCGACTCTGATCTTATTTAGACAAGGTCATAGTCAAAGTGGAAGTTCTCTCCTCCCTTCAGAGAAAGGTACCTCTTTCTTTGATGGCCCATTCTTTCAACTGAGATCTCACTCACAGAGATCTTTCATTTGGTTTTTTTTTTCTTTGCCAGAGTGTCTTGGCTTTCCATGCCTAAAATACTCTCATGGGCTCTTCGGCCAGATCCGCGTGCCTTAAGGGCTGATTCTGAGGCCAGAGTACTGTTTAGGACATCTGCCATTCTGAGTCTGCTGTGTATCCCGTTTCCCATGTTGGATCGTCCACTCTTTTTGAATTCTATCAGTTAGTATTAGCAAACGCTAGTCTTGTTTATGTGATCCCTTTGACTTTTAGACCTATCAGTGTGATCAACTGTGAACTGAAATTGATCACTTGGACTAGTGAGATGGCATTGGTACATGCCACCTTGTTGAGATTGAATTGGAATCCCCTGGCACATTTCTAACTCTATCATTTGGGGTGAGTCATATTGAACATGTCCCAAATTATACCTCTTCCTCTCTTATTCCCACTCTTATATTTAACAGAGATCACTTTTCAGTTAAATTTAAACACTTAAGAATAATTGTGTGTTAATTACAGAGTTCGACCAATAGTGTCTTTTGATGTGATGGGACTGAGGTCTGAGTTACTGTGCCCAACAAAAGGTGAGTTGAATTGTGCAGCTTAAATCTGAGCAAAGTGATGGAGAGGACGGTGGTCCCAGCTGTGTCCTGGGAGGATTTGCCCCATGTAATGACAATAGTTTGCCATCCAAAAATTTCCATGGACACGAATGACTGATGGAATCATAATGGAAAGGAAGATTGTGGTCCACTTTGTCTATTTCCCTTTCTGGAGTGGAGGAAACACACGCGCTTTTCCATGCCTCAGTAAATGTCTATTACCAGTGAATAAATTGTGCTGGGTTATATCAGGAAGTCCAAGGATGAGGGCCTGGATCCCCCTCTTGGGTCAGCACTGTAGCTTGGAAACAAGAGAGCTGCTGGCAGGGTAAGCAGTAAGTCCCTGAGTGAGACGACAGTGAAGGAGAGAATGTTCAGATGCAAGTCCAACTGCAGACCCCTGTGGCCATGCGCATGGTTCTGGTTAATCAGTGCATTGTCCCTCAGTGCTGCCAAGTCCAACTGTCACAGGGAGGGGAAAACCGTAGCAAACAAAAAGCAGTAGGAGCATTGAGTGTCAGGAAAATGGCGCAGTCTTATCTATGGCGCGATCTACACCCTGACACCATCCTAGGCTCTAGCCCCCACCACCATTGCTAGAAGCCAGGTGGCCACATGGCCCAACCACCAGTGTCAAGCTCCACCCACATCCTAATGGGATTCGCTGCTCCTGCTTCCCTGCCCGCCTCCTGGCAAAGTTTTAAAAGGACCTGTTCCTGAGCACGTGGCTCTCTCCTCTCTCTTGCTCTCCCTCTCTCGCTTACTCTCTCCTCTCTCTTTTCTTGCTCTCTCTTGCTCACTCTCCTCTCTTCTCTCTGCTCTCTCTCATCTCCTCTCTCTCTTACACTCTCTTTTTCCCTCCTCGCCTCTTCCCTCCGGCCTGCTGGGTTTTCCTTTCCGTTACTCCGGTGTTTGGTGTGTTTTGTGACGATCCGAGTCATGGCACCAGTGTAAGGTCCCAGGTTTCAGCACCAGTGTAAGATCATCACAAAACACACCAAACACCGGAGCAAGGGAAAGGGTTTATTGGGGAAAACTCAGCAGGCCAGAGGGAAGGGGCAAGGACGGAGAAAGAGAGTGTAACAGAGAAAAGGAGAGAGGGAGAGAGAGAGAGAGGAAGAGAGGAGAGAGCTGAAAGAGGAGAAGGGAGAGCGGAGAGCAGAGAGCAGAGGGAGAGCAAGAGAGTGAGAGAGCGAGAGGGGAGCAAGAGAGAGGAGAGAGCCACGTGTTCAGGAACAGGTCCTTTTAAAACTTTGCCAGAGGGTGGGCAGGGAAGCAGGAGCAGCAAATCCCATTAGGATGGGGGTGGAGCTTGACACTGGTGGTTGGGCCATGTGGCCACCTGGCTTCCAGCAACGATGGTGGGGGTGAGAGCCTAGGATAGTGTCAGGGTGTAGATTGCGCCAATTTCCTAACATTGAGGACTGAAAATCATCAAACACAGAGATGTGCTCACTGCCCCAGACACAGAGCTCTGACCAGGGCAGGGCATTGGTGCAGGAGGCTGACTGGATCCCTCATCCCATAGTGGAGGGCCTGGGTCCAGTCCTGATTCTGGATTCCTGCTCATGCACACTCGGGGAGGAGGCAGTGATGGCTGAGATACGTGGGTTCCTGCCACCCATGTGAGACACCTGGATGGAGTCCCCTTGTCCATCTCCAGCCTTGTCCAGTCTGCTGTTTTGCACATTTGGAGAAGGAACCAGAGGATGGGAGATCTCTGTCCTCATTTCAAATAACATGAAAAAATAAAAATAAAGAAAATCTCTGCTGAGCTGTCACTCTGGCTGAGGGTGAGAAGAAGAGGAATGGACAGTAAAGAAGGAGTCAGAAACATCAGTGCTGGCCTGGGGAGCAATTAGAGGAATAACCACAGTAGCCGCTGTGGTGCAGGTCTCTGTGTTCTGAACTCAGGCAGCCGCTCAGGCCCAGAGTCTCCTGTTGATGATGCTGAGGGAGTGGAAACTTCACCCCATCATTGTGTGCAGAGGGGAGGCCTTTGTGCAGGGATTCAGCTGGGACAGATCCTTAGGTCACGCCCACATGGCTTAATGCTGGTGGGTTCAGCAGGGGATTGAGAAAGGGCACAGAGATTTAGAGAGAAACATGGCTTCCTGCCATCATGTGATGGAGCAGAGGGGCCCTTGCAAAAGCCTGTGCTGTGCTGTTCAGATATTGAATTTCCAGAACCAGGAGACATTGTCTTTATACAGTTATTCTGCTTCTTGAATTTCCTTACTATACTTGGGCATCTTCTGCTGCTTTCCCAGTCGCATTAGCAGGGAGCTGACTTGGAAGTGAAGCAGCCAGGACATGGAGTGCCTATATGGGCTGAGGAGGCAGTGCCACAGCCCAGCTCAGGTTTTCTACAAGAAATGCCCTTAGGACAGGATAAGCTCCAGCAGGAGGGCAGCAGACAACCATTCCTCCCCCTCCCAGCTCAGCAGGACCACGGCCCAGCTGCTGTAACATGGCTGCTGCTCATTAAGCCACCAGCCATTTCCTACCTAACATATAACATACTACCCCCTAATGCTGTCGGGGGTAACATTTTACTTCTGTGTTAACAGGCAGGTCATACCCCTCATCTTAATTCTAGTACTTTCAAATTCTTTCAATAAATATCTAAGCCATAAAAATAGTTAATGCAAAGTGTATTAAATGTATTATGATTTTTAATATACTGTAGGTAGTGGAAAGGTTTCCATTCTCATTCCTTCTTTTTTATTTTTAATTTATTTATTTCAGAGAGAGAGAGCTCCCACCCTTTTTCATTCTCTGAATGCCCTCACTGGGTCCAAAGCCAGGAGCCAGGGACTCAGCCCAGTCTCCCATGTGTGTGGCTGAAACCCCAAATGTGAGCCATGACCACTCCTGTGAGATCTGATTGTGAAAGAATCCGGAATCAGGAGCTGCAGTCAGACATCCAGCCCAGGCATTCTGGTGTGGACGCAGGTGTCCTAACTAGCTAGTCTTAACTGCCCGCCCAAATCCTGGCCCCACCTATGTCTTTTCAAAAGTAGAGTCTGTTAAAAATTTAAAAAACTAAATTGCCTTGACACTGCTAAGAAGAGCTTCCTGGACTATCTTCTTCATGCGTAAATGATAAAGAACTGTTTTCTAGTCGCCCACGTTATGGGAAAAAAATGAAAACACACAAACACGGACACACACACACAGGGTGCTATTTTTTTATTTCAACTTTAAAATTTTCCCTTGCCATCTGTAGCCAGCAGGAACCTGGCTGGTGGGCTGATCCACCTGTTCAGTAGTGCCCTGGTGGACGCTCCTCCCTCTGGCTGCCATCTGCCCCTCAGGGGGGAGGAGTCTGCGCCCCCACCCCCAGTCCAGGCTGTCAGCACCACAACTGATGTGGCTCAGGAACATCCGGATGCTCTCAGCCCAACAAAGGACCAGGGTCTGCTCAGCCCTGCCCAGAGCCCTCATGGCCTGGGACCCCTGCCCAACCCTGCTCAGAATGGACGTCCAGCCCACGTCCACACCTGAGGGTCCAGGCAGGTGAGGAGGTCTCCCTCCCCTGCAACCACTGAGATGCACGAGGGGCCTCAAAATATCTTGGAAAACAGAATCAGAAGATCGGTTTACTTTGGTGCAAAAATTTTGAGGTCCAGTTCTACAATTTGCGTTTCCACAAAGCGTCCTAGTACTAAGTTAAGAAAATGAGGTCAATTGGGGCTGGCGCTGTAGTGTGGCTGATAAAAGCCACCGCCTTCCGCAGTGCCAGCATCCCATGTGGGTGCCGGCTCAAGTTCCAGCTGCTCCATGTCTGATTCAGCTCTCTGCTCAGGCCTGGGAAAGCAGCAGAGGGTGGCCCAAGTACCTGGGCCCCTGCACCCGCCTGGGAGTCTCAGAGGAAGCTCCTGGCTCCTGGCTCCTGGCTTCTGAGT